TTTTTATTTTTCGGCACACATTTTCGGCTTTTAGATGAATTTTCCTGTTTATTTCGTTTTTTGGTGTTCCTTAGGTTTTGTATAAAAAATTCAGAAAATAATTACATGAAAAAATGTGTTTTTCCCTTCTGTGAGAGGCACAATTTTACTTCTCATGGAGGCACATATTTGCTTCCGTGAGAGGCATGGTCGTGCATCTGAAAAGGAAAAAATGTGTCGTCTTTTTTTTCCTTCTACGAGAGACATATATTTACTTCTTGTGGGGGCACATAGACTCATTTTTGAATAATGCTAGACAATACGCCACCATTGTAGCGGGATGGTAGTATAATAAATAACTTGAAAGAGAGTGGCACATGGTAAGGAGAAAAGGAGTAAGAGAATAAAAATAAGAAATATTTTGCAGTAGAAGATGGCTTAGATTTAGTGTGTAACTCTTAAATCAACTTACTTAGTATGACCAATTCTCTAACCAAATTTGCAGAGGATGTTACATTTTATCATCTCAATGGAAAGAAGACAATACATCTGATGTGCTACTATTTGAAGGAAATATGCCCTAAAGGCAATAATAAAGTTGTTATTTATATTTTCTTATATCATGATAAATGTTTATTATTCATGCTAGAATTGTATTAATCGGAAACTTAGTACATGTGTGAATGCATAGACAAACAGAGTGTCCCTAATATGCATCTACTTGACTAGCTCGTTAATCAAAGATGGTTAAGTTTCCTAGCCATGGACATGTGTTGTCATTTGATGAACGGGATCATATCATTAGAGAATGATGTGATGGACAAGACCCATCCGTTAGCTTAGCATAATGATTGTTTAATTTTATTGCTACTGCTTTCTTCATGACTTATACATGTTCCTATGACTATGAGATTATGCAACTCCCGAATACCGGAGGAACACTTTGTGTGCTACCAAACGTCACAACATAACTGGGTGATTATAAAGGTGCTCTATAGGTGTCTCCGATGGTGTTTGTTGAGTTGGCATGGATCAAGATTAGGATTTGTCACTCCGATTGTCGGAGAGGTATCTCTGGGCCCTCTCAGTAATGTACATCACTATAAGCCTTGCAAGCAATGTAGCTAATGAGTTAGTTACGGGATGTAGCATTATGGAACGAGTAAAGAGACTTGCCGGTAACAAGATTGAACTAGGTATTGAGATACCGACGATCGAATCTCTGATAAGTAACATGTCGATGACAAAGGGAACAACGTATATCGTTATGCGGTTTGACCGATAAAGATCTTCGTAGAATATGTAGGAACCAATATGAGCATCCAGGTTCCGCTATTGGTTATTGACCGGAGACATGTCTCGGTCATGTCTACATAGTTCTCGAACCCGTAGGGTCCGCACGCTTAACGTTCGATGACGATCGGTATTATGAGTTTATGCGTTTTGATGTATGGAAGGTAGTTCGGACTTCGGAGTCCCGGATTTGACCATGGACATGACAAGGAGTCTTGAAATGGTCGAGACGTAAAGATAGATATATTGGAAGCCTATGTTTGGACATCAAAATGGTTCCGGGTGAAATCGAGAGTATACCGGAGCACCGGGAGGTTACCGAAACCCCCCGGGAGGTATATGGGCCTTATTGGGCCTTAGTGGAAGAGAGGAAAAAGAAGCAAAAGAGGGGGCGCCCCCCCCCCCAAGCCCAATCCTAATTGGGAAGGGGGCCGGCCCCCCTTTCCTTCCTTCTTCCTCCTCCTTCCTTCTCTCCTAGAACCAACAAAGGGAAGGGGGAATCCTACTCCCGGTGGGAGTATGACTCCCTTGGGGTGCGCCTACAGAGGCCGGCCCCCTCCCCCTCCTCCACTCCTTTATATACGAGGGAGGGGGGCACCCCATGGACACACAAGTTGATCATTGATCTTTAGCCGTGTGTGGTGCCCCCCTCCACCATAATCCACCTCGGTAATATCGTAGCGGTGCTTAGGCGCAGCCCTGTTCCGGTAGCAACATCATCACCGTCATCACGTCGTCGTGTTGACGAAGCTCTCCCTCGAAGCTCTACTTGATCGTGAGTTTGCGGGACATCACCGAGCCGAACGTGTGCAGATCGCGGAGGTGTCGTATTTTCGGTACTAGATCGGTCGGTCGTGAAGACGTACGACTACGTCAAGCGCATTGTCATAACGCTTTCGCTTACGGTCTATGAGGGTACGTAGACGATACTCTCCCCTCTAGTTGCTATGCATCACCATGATCTTACGTGTGTGTAGGAAATATTTTGAAATTACTGCGTTCCCCAACACTATTTATCAAAAAAAACTGATGTGCTACTAATAAAAAAAGTACTCCATCCGTCCGGAAATACTTGCCATCAAAATGGATAAAAGGGGATGTATCTAGACATATTTTAGTTCTAGATACATATCTTTTTATCTATTTTGATGACAAGTATTTTCGAACGGAGGGAGTAGTAATTAATACAACAATACAAATTACATGTCTGCACCTTGAATGAACTCGCAGCCTTAATCTTTCAAGGGTATGTGACCTCGCTGAACTTATGTAGTGCACCTTTGTACCTTTGTACTTCTTGTTGTGTGACTTGGGTGTGTGTGTTCTGAACTAGTCCATGTATGTGTGCTCTTGGCGGTTTGCTTTATTTATAAAGCGGGACGAAAGCCTTTTTGGATAACTTATGTAGTGCTATACGCATATATATAATCTACTCCCTCCTTTCCTAAATATAAGTCTTTTTAGAGATTCCAACAAGGGACTACATACGGAGCAAAACGAGTAAACATACACTCTAAAATATGTCTTTTAAAAAAAATATGTCTATATATATCCATATGTAGTTTATATTGGAATCTCTAAAAAGACATATATTTAGAAATGAAGGGAGTAGATCGTAAAATAGATGTTGTGGCAGTTTATGCTAGAAACAATACAAAGGAAGCACGAGGTTTAAGACTTAGGAGCCATACCTAAAGGTTGTTTCTCCCCTTTACAACAACTGGATGTGCTGCAGTTGAATCAACATATGTTGTGAGGTATCCTAGCGACGACAACGCAATGCAATGACCTGCTCTTGTAGCGATTGAAATTTTACTAATGATGAGTGGTGGGAAACAGTAAGAGATGTGGGACATGCACATGCCTGACCCTGCTAGGCTGCATGACACTGCGGGGAAGGCGGACCATATGGCCTGATTGAGGTGGCTTCATGGTGTTGCCTGCGGCAACATCCTTAGAGGAAGTGCGCCCCCGCGACTACCGCACCCTCGTCTAATTTGGCCGACATGGTCGATGACATGTAGCCCTTTGCCCTCTCGTCCCGCCTAGTTGTTGTCCCTATCTCGGCACCGACGCTGTCCACGGCCACAACAAAAACGATGCCATCGTCTTCCCGCACCAACATCAGCCTCTGAACCTTTAGGTATGTACAATCATACAGTCCCCATGTTGGTCTGGGTTCTGCGGAACATATCGAGGAAGGGAAGGAAAAAAATATGAATCCTCGTCAGGTGATGCGGTCGTTGCTATTTATTAGAAGAACTCATCTAAGGAGGACATGCTACGAGGGAATGAAGTGATGCCTTAAGCTATTACTCCTAAACTTGTTTCATGAAGAAGTTGAATATCAATGAGATGGTGGGGATGTGAACAGCCAATCGTTTTTGCTGCTTCTTTTTGCATGAAGAAGATAATGGACTCATGATTAGTAAACTAAAGCAAAGAAAAAAAAATGAAAACATAAGTGGTGACATGGCAACACGGTAGAGCAGGGAAATTCAGTATTTTAACTGCATGATTGCTGATATGGCATGATAGCCAAGTTGGCATGTGTGCATGTCAAGATAAATAAAGTAGTGAGGATGAATCTCTCCTCGCGCGTTGCTACGGTAACTTTGTTAAAAAATGCGTAAGTAGTTGCTAAAAAACTAAATCTAATGAAAAGAAAGTATACGTTTGAAAATCAATAAAAGTAAGTGTTTAAAATAGAATAAAAACTTTTGAAGTATAGTTAAAATGTCATTTCGAACAAAATGTGAAGGATGACTAACATGAATATATGATGTAGCTGTGTTACATGCATAGACTAATGCAAAATAATTGTAATTTATAAGTTAAATGCATGACTCATTTATGTAGCAGATTTTGCATGGCTTAGTGGGAGAGAAGACTTAAATACATTGCTTAGTGAGATGTTAAGGTGGACATTTTGCATGTTGAGAGAATTGAGACCAACTTCTTAATAATGTAAAATGTATAAAGAGCAAATTCTTAAAAGAAAAAAATTAGACACAAAATTAAAAGATAAAACATTTTGAATAAGAGAAAACTCGCGACCTTTTGCGCGGATCCACTCCCCTTCGGTGTCCAAATTATATCCTACTGCAAGAACCTGGGCTAGGCCCACGCGAATGCAGACGAGAACGAAATCTGCAGTTTACTACGTCTGAGCATCCAGCCCAGCCCATGGCTCCTGGTTCGCAGACGCGTTCGTTCTGCTTTGGTGGAAAAATCCCTAACCCGATCTAAAAAAAAAAAAGGAAAATCCCCAACCCAGACCGCCGCGTCACTGCTCCGCTCCTCTCCATCTTTCTTCCCGTCGGCCGAGAGGCCAGAAGCACCGGGCACCGTCTCCCGTCGGCCGAGGCCAGAAGCGCCGGGCACCCTCTCCCGTCGGCCGTCGCGATCTCTACACCCGCCGCTGCTGGGATCAGAGCGAGACCCCTCGATCCGTTCCCCACCGTTTCTCCCTAGGAGGTATGTT